GAACAAAACGTGTCGTCGGCAATGGTTACATAGTATGGATGGAATACTATTCTTTCACACTCTTCTAATTTTTGAAAATCCTTAAAGGACTAGATGTAGAATACGGTGTTAAAAATTATAATAGGCCTAATACTAATCTCTAATTCACTCTTTCTGTATTCAGACCCTGATTGAGATGCTTTTCTTGAGTATAATGCACTCTTAATTCACGTTGTGTCCACTTCTAAACGTACAGATGTCACTAATATTGATACTCCTGGGCCTAGATGAACTTTGAAAATATCTGGAAACGTTTCTCAGTCGGATTGATTAACGGCTGTAACTTTATAATACTTGTCATATTTGATTTGTGCCGTTCAACGTGTAAACAAACAAACTCGAGCCATTTTATTCTGTTTATGTTCTCAAACTACTTATTTAGTTCAATCCTATCAGAAACGAGTAGCTAATCTTTCCAAACATACTGTTTGAATAATAAGGCCTAGCATGGCCAGGTGGTTAGGGCGCTCGACTCGCAATCTGCGGGTTCGAAACCCATCACACCAAACATGCTTGCTCTTTCAGCTGTGGGGGCGTTATAATACTACGGTCAATTCCACTATTCGTTGGTAAAAGAGTAGCCCAAGAGTTGGTGGTGGGTAATGATGACTAGCTGCCTTCCCTCTAGTCTTACACTGCTAAATTAGGTACGTCTAGCGGAGATAGCCCTCGTGTAGCTTTGCGCGAAACAAACAAACTGTTTGAATAAGTTGATGTTTCACAGACTCGTTAACCGTTTAAAAGATATTAAGGAAAAGGACAATCATTAATTCTGTTTTGCGTAGACATAATGTTGAACTTTCCCATACGGTACTGATTTAAATGTACAGTACTTTATATAACTCATACAGGCTTAGCAGCAGTTTATTGGGCTAGCTTCTTTTTTCCGAGTTAAGAGCCTATTTAATTCTTAATAACATCTCTACATGTATCTACAGTGCATCTAGATAAAACAGGTAGAAAATTTTAATGGACAGCTAGAGGTTTTATAGTCTTCACAGGTGATTCGTTCGCTTGACACTCGCTGTAAATAATTCAAAAGACTTCTAATTTGGAAAAAGAAGAACGCTCTGAACAACCTGCTGCTGTTGAGGTTATATTATTCATAAAATGTACATTATGTTTAATTGTCATGCAATTCATTTAGTACTGAGTTAGCATCACTACTACAGTTGTATTACATTTTATACATTTCCAAATAATGTAGGGTTAACGTAAAATAAAAAGACTGAGAGTACTAGGTCACTCGTAAAAGGTTTAATTAAACATTTTTAGTTTCAAAACAAACTAATAGTCAAACAAACGAATTACAACTTTCCACAACTGGACCGGCATGGCCAAGCGGTTACAAGTTCGTGACTCGTTACCGCAAAAACTGCGCTCCAGATGTGAAGGTCATGGGTGCGCTAAAAAAAAAGAGACAGTCAAGCAAACAAATTACAAGTTTCACAATAATCTGTGAAGATTATAAAACGTTTAGTTATTGAGCAAAAATTTTCCACCCGTGTTTTTAGAGAGATGTTATTTTGTATTATTATCTAATGGTTACTTTAAGAAAGCGCTAGGCTTAATTAAGCATAAATATAGCAGAATATATTATGCGATTGGTTTGTTTTGAATTTCGCGCAAAGCTGTATAAGGGCTATCTGCGCCAGCCATCCCTAACTTAGCTGTAAAAGACTAGAGGGAAGGCAGCTAGTCATCACCACCCACCGCCAACTATTGGGCTACTCTTTTTACCAACGAATAGTGGGATTGATCATTACAGTATTACACTCCCACGGCTGAAAGGGCGAGCATGTTTGGTAGGACGGGGATTCTTACCCGCAGATTGCGAGTCGAGCGTCCCCTTGCCCCCTGGCCATGTCGAGTCAATATCCTGTGTATTCTAATTTTGTTGGATCGGTGATTACAAGTTATTTTTGTTTTTACTGCGGTAATTGAAAGGGTATATCAAAAATCACAAACTATATTCAATTCCTAAAGATATATATATAATACAGTATAATGTATACACATACCCATAAAAAGCTTCGAAATAACATCTTTCTAGACATTTTTTCAACACTAAAATCAAAAAGGAAATTACAGTGGCTACTACTTATTTGTATATAAAAGTCTAATTTTTCATAGGTCGTTACCAAAGTTTGCTTTCGAACAAGCGGTAACCCCATTTTTAAAACAACTGTATGAAAAATGAAACCAAAGTTTAAAACTAGAAAACTTATATTGGTTACTCAGCAGCAATATTTTAAAGAACGCTAAGTATTCGCTTACAGAGAACTTAAGGCTTTTGTATTTTAGCGCCACTTTTAAAGCTTTCATGAACATCTCAGATCGGCCTGTCCTCTATGAACTATTCTTGAAATTCATAACACTATCACAAATAAAGTTTATCGAACTGATCTGCTGACTTACTGCATCGCCTTTTAATTTGAAGGATTAAATTAGAAGTAAGATGAACATGGTACAAATAAATTATTTAAATATTGATTTATTTCTATGTGAATTCGAAATAAAGTTAATTAAAAAGCATACGATTTGAAAGTGACTTTGGTGAGGTATTAATTAAAAGGCTTTCAATAATGAGAAAACTGGACCTAATGCTGGAATTACGTTCTCTCGATTGGGTTTGGTTTGTGTTGAATTTCATGCAAAGCTATACGAGGGTTATCTGCACTATTCGCCCCTAATTTAGGAGTGATAGACTAGAGGGAAGGCAGCAAGACAACATTGTCCAAAAACAAAACTTTAAAGAATTTGAATGATAAAGTAACATTATAAACTCTACTTATAATTGCAGGTCAAGATCAAATTCCTCCCTTTCTCATATGGTACAAAGGATCCGAGCTGATCTTCAGCTTAATTGGTACAAGAGGATGAGAATAGTAACACATTCTCCCTAGACGTGATGCTACTCCATCGCAAGTTACTCACAGCTAATAACTGGCACCCATCAACTAGAAACCATCCAAGCCACTGAGCCACACCTTCCCCCTATATATAATTGTAGATATGAATATTTGTTTAAATATCTGAGTACAAGAAATATATTTTTCATAATAAATTGGTTCTTGTTAATGGTATATTTATTAGGTAAGTTAAAATAGTGTTACGTCTCCGTGTGTTACTTAATTTTCCGTAACTTCGTTCCGACGAAACTTAAGCGACACAAGTATTTACTTAA